TGTGCAAAATTAAAATTAATTTTTAGCTTTAAAGAAGTATACATATTAGATATATTATAATATCACACTACGCAATTTCAGAATACTACCAACTTACAATTAAATGCAAATATGTTAGTGTCATCAACATTAATAGTAATTTACATTATTATGTTAAATTGCTTCCACAAAATATTTGATGGTATTCAAATCAGGACAAAATTATATTATATTAAAAGCATCGAGGAAAATTATAAAACTTTGTCTGAAAATCAGAGGGAAGTTACAGAATTTTTAGATGAGAAATTTGTAACAATCTGGGTTAGTAATGTAGATTTTTCCTATTTAGAATTATATATATAGTGATATGCATAATGAATGTATTTGATGCATAGATATAAGTATATGCAAGCATTGTATTAACGTTATACATTTACAGACGTTATTACGATCATAGCGTCGTTCCAGTTTCAAACGGAGAATTTTAATTAAAGAACCTCTGTATTATTTATTGACTTCAAGAATGCATTAAATTTATCGGATTGGTAAATTTAGAAGTTTTGTTACAAAAACAAGTGCTTCAAACTGCACAGTTGTTTGAGTCTATTTAACCGATGGCGATGACATCAATACGATGATAATTTTACGTTACTAATTTTCGATGCGAGCAAACTCGATTTGAAGCTTCAGCGGAGTTTCTTGGTAACGAGATTTTCCCACGTATCGATTTGCGGTGTTCAATTTCCGTCTGGCGCGTACATATTTTTAGCGAATACGAGCACTCGTTGCATAGAAACAGAGGGAAGTAATAAATCCGTCTTGGCAAAAGCAATCACCTTCGTTTAAGGAGATTAAGAGTTAATCAAAAGGCTTCGATTAATTGATTAATCGACCTTTTATTGTTATAATGACATCGCATTTAAAAAATCTACATCGCAATCAACGTTAATCTTCGTAAACATAAAAAAAATGTACTAAATCTTAGTAGATGCTTATTTGAATAGTGCTAAATATTTACTAAATGTAAAGATATATATTTATTTGATACAAGAATCATTAATTTGATTTATACAATTATCATTTTTTATTAAATAAGTATTCACTATAAGTAAATATCTAGTTAGTACTATTGAAAAAAACATATATTAAGATTTGATAATTTTTTTCTCAGTGTACTTAAAATCTGTAAACTTAACTCTCCGTTTACAATTTTTTTCGGCGCAAGGCAAAATTTCTCCGAAATAAAGATGAGTAGAATAGATAATAAAGGTTTTAACATTTGAATTAAAAAATATTTAAATGTTTTTCCGAATTTTTTTGAAAGCCTAGAACAGTAAGAAGCTTAGGCTAGAGAAAAAAAATCCAGACTGCAAATAGATAGAGGATAGAGGATTATAAAAGAGAGAGAGAGAGAGAAAAGATAAAAGGGGACTAACATATTTCTAGAATTATTCATGTTGATTTTCTCTCTCTCTTTTATAATAAAATATTCTCAATTGTATATATAATATGTAATCAATTTTGTAACATCAATATACGCTGTTTGCTGCATGTCGTTCGTCTTCGGGCACGCGTTACAAGCCATTCCCCTTGTATTCTCTCGTTGTAATTCCAGGTTCGCTCGTTCAGCTCTACCACGCGATTAATTCCGTCGTCAAACTTCTCCCCGTTTCGTCGCGCGCGACGAAAAGAAATAATGTCGCGATGAGGTTGACGCCGCGCGTCGCGTCGTCCGTCTCTGAATTCGCGAATTCCTAAGCTACGGAGATGCCCTGTCCCTAAGGAAGGGCTCGCAGCATTAAGAATTCCTCGGCTCCTCTCGCCGTTAATACACGCGTCCAGTGCGGCACGATGCGGGCGGCTCGGTACCGCGGGTACCACCATGCCGATCCCCGCCGGCTGGCACATAACGGAAATGACCGGTGGGGAGGTAGCCGGACACCGGAAGTTGTATCGGTAGTATACCCGACGCGTGTACGTACGTGCACGCTCACGCGTCGCCCGTCCACGGTCATTGCTCGTTTTAATAGCGTAAAAACGATATGTCGTCGTGCCGTTTATGCGCCGGCGTATCGCCGATCGACGTCGTCGTCCTGTCGATCCTCGTCGTCTTGTAATCTCGTGATCTCGAATACGAATGACGGGACGCCGCGCGCTGCTCGGCAATGTGCGATCGGGAACTCCACTCATCGTCGGGGAATAAAAGCGCTCTCATAATTTTCGATTCGGGTCAAATATTCTTTCTAACGAGCTCCAATTCTCTATCCAATTGAATTCTTTTTTTTTTTTTTTTTTTTTTTTTTATCGATGCTGACAGTTAAGCGCAGATAAAAAGAACATTAGAAAATGTCTGAAAAGATTAATTCGAATTCTGATTAAAAATGAACGTATAAGAATTTTCTGATTGAATAATTATAATATTCTAAAAGTCTTAGAATGAATTCCACTCTGAAGAGTGAAATCTCATTTTTAAAGAAAATTGTGACACAAGACTGGCTCCATTTTCACTCGTTAGAGTGAGATTCCGCTCCAAAGATTTTAGAGAGTATGTAATTCATTCTCAATCAGAATTCCAATTAATGCAACCAGACTCTTTTCAAGATAGATATTGTGCATTGTTATTACATATATAATAATTATTAATTATGTACTTATAATAATTATAATTCTACTAACCTAGTTGAGATAATCAGAATTCTAATTGATGTGATCAGAATCTTCTGATTCTTCCGTTTTCAGAAATATTTCTCAGTGAACGCAGAACGCTCGTGTTTCCATTCATAAAAAAAAATGATGGAGATACCGCTTTCACGTGCCTACGTCGTCGAAATTCGACATCGGCAGGATTATATTTCGACATTCCCGAGTCCATCTCCTCTTCCTATTTTTTTCCTATTCTTTTTTTTTTATTACGAAATCACGTGCGACGAACTGACGAGTCAACGAATACTCGAGATATGCACGTGTTGAGTTCGCGTCGATCGGGTCACGCTGATAAAGATTGCAATTCGCGATTTCCTGCCCGCCGCGCCGTGAAGCGCCATTTTCAAGGTTGACATTGTGCAACAGCGTATGCAAGATGCTGAGCGATTGCGACTGGAATTCTGTTGCCCAATGTATGTTTTGTTATCCTGCGCTGATTTCAGCAACGTGCGATAACGTATTTATAGAATAATTACACTCATTTGCTTTTGCCACGAGCGATAAGAAAAAAAAAAAAAAAAATGAAAATATGCCTTGTTAAGTTCTAAACGAACATTATTATGATACACTAATTGTTTTTTCGTTACTCTATTAATATTTGTTTTTATTATTTGTATATAAAATATTGTTTATATTTATGAAAGTTATATGTTATATAAAATAAAAAAATCTTTATATTATTATATCACAGCAGGAAGCATCGAGAAAATTGTTAGTATTGAAAATATGAATAGATACGCTATAATGTGTATGTTTAATAACGCAGAAACAAATATTGCAATTTATATAGAAAAATTGATTTTTATGTATATAAAAATTATAATGTATCTTTATATTAATAATGTAAGATTTTCCTTTTGAAATCGTGAATACATATACGGTACTTTCTTTTCTCACAGGCTACAAAGGAATTTATAGAAGCTGTGAATAGGTGTAGAGCTGGTAGACGAGCTGGACCAGTATCCTGGAGCACGGCGGTCAAGTTTTTAGCGGCACGGAAGTTTGAGGTTCAACGAGCTTTAGCTCTGTACGAGCAGCACGAAGCCACTAGGAGGAGAGAGGGATTAGCAGTTCTGCATCCTACCCAGGAACCCCTACTCAGTGAACTATACACAGGAAAATTTACGGTCCTGGTAAGAGGAGAAAGTCAATTAACGCAGATGCGTTTTGTTTAGTTGTTGCGACTTAAAACAAATAATGTATAAATTATTTTAGCCATCAAGAGACGCAACAGGTGCAGCGATAGCTATTTTCACAGCGCATTTGCATCTTCCACAGAATACTACACATCAAACAACTTTACAAGTAAGTTTTACAAAGTATATTTTTAACGACTGAATTAAGAAAGAATTTTTATAGAGTCGTAGATACTTATTTTTATAATCGGAAACATTTATAGTTTCCTAGAAAAGTTTCTAGAAAAAGTAAGCCTTTAAAATTCTTAATTATTAAAGTAATCAACTTTCTCATCTTTTGCAGGGTGTTGTATATCAACTGGACGCTGCCCTTGAAAGTGCAGAAACGCAGAAGCATGGACTAGTTTTTATTTATGACATGTCTGATAGCAAGTATCAGAATTTTGATTATGACCTGTCTCAGAAAATTCTGACACTTTTGAAGGTAAGTCGATGAATATATATTTTAGGCACAGTAGAAATTTATTGTAGGATAATGCACGCGTGATCTGTCTGAAACAGACCATTAAATTTAGTAATTTAACTTCAGCACTTATTAAAAATAATAAGAATTATGATAGAGATACATGTACACGAGCATTAAGAAATATGAGCGTAGAGAAGATAATTTTATCATGAAAGCAATCTATGACAAATTGTTTGAGAAACTTGAAAAGACGCGAACAAAAAAAGAATGGACAGTCAACTACGCGTGATTTACCTAAATAATCAGGAAGCGCGAAGTTTGTTTCCTCCTGTTCTCACCAAGGAGACATATAATATATATCCTCAATTTCTCGGCTTCCTATTGCAAAATTGAATCGCGCGGGAACATCGTGTAGAATCGTGTTTCTTTTTTTTTCTTTTCTCCATTTTAGACACGCCGAATTAAATTAGATGATGAAATAGCAATGTCATAGATATTTTCTCCGTACATTACGCATCGATTTGCACACCGTTTTCTCTCGAAATATGCGTAATACTTTTCGCCTTACGACGCGATTAAGCGGCTTGACGACTAGTGGTCGTCCAAGCGAAACAGAGCACCACTGCCGCCCGGAGTTAGAAAGCGAGAAAAGAGCGTGATCGAGAGTGAGAGGAGAGTGAGTCTTGCGGTGAGTGTTCATTATGTATAACGATACACGGTCTCATTTCTCTATTCCCGCCGACATGACAGAGGTGCTCTGTCACGCATAAATGTCGAATGCATGAAAGAAAGCCGTTGTGCTATTCGTTCTAGCCTGAACAACGGCATATAAAGGCTGACTGAAATAGCACCATTTTGCAAATTTTTATACGAATATCTTTGAATAATTACATCCTATTTCTATGTATTACTATATTACGTAAATCTCGGAACACTATTGATAGTAAGCTTTAAATCGTTAGAAATCAATCAATTATAGTCAATTATTCTCCTCACATTCGACTGTGATTGACCAATACCTTACGGCTTAAAGCTTGTTACTTATTGTGTTTCAGAACTAAACCGTGAACATTATAATACAGCTTGTATATAAAAGATTATTCGAAAATATTTTCTCACGGATATATGAGAAAGAGAACAAGACCTAATTACGAAGAAATACATTATTATATTTATATAAAGAAATATACAGAAATATTGTATTATTAATCACTAAAAACTTCACAGAATATCGTCTTTCTTTTTAATGATAACTAATTTTAATGATTACTAATTTGCAAAGTGGCACAGCGATCTGAATCTCTTAGAGACAGATATCTCATTCTGGCATAATGAATAAGAACAGCGGTAAATTTCCGCGCTTTTAGAAGAAAAATATTTCTCCAAGAAGAAGCGTAATAATTATGCGAATTACATGAGCACGAAGTGCCATTTAGCGACGTCTAAGTGCGTGGCCCGATTAACATTCACGTTGCGTGCAATTTCGTCCGGCGTAGTGTGACATTATAGTTATTACCGCCGCTGAAGTTAACCCAATTAGTCATCGCCGGTCGGTTGAAATAGTCTCGTGCGTTAATGCTTTGATGCGGCCAGCCCACTTACGTAAAAAAAAAAATGGTGTCATAGGCGACGTAACTGATTCACATGAGCTCCTCCGTGCAAACGTCACTTTCATATCGTCATCATACGGATATATATATATATATACATATATATATATGCACGTGACGTCTTTTCACCCTGACTTTCACACGTCATCGATCATTCTTGCATAATTTAATAACGCCTCGTCGTTCTCAAGGGATGAAAATATTCCCAATCTTCTTACCATGTATGAAGCTAAGCTCGTTTGTAAAAATATTCTTTTCCCCAAGACGTACGTCATACCTCGTCGAGATGCTGATTATGTCGCTTCAATTGATAATACGTCATAGCTTCATTCTTCTTTTTTTTTTTTAGACTCCTATACTTCTTGGCGGGCCGCAAAATCCACATTTAGCTCTCACGCGCGTGAGGATGTACGGCTCGAAGAGCGGTGATACGCTTAAGGGCGTTTACGCTTCGCGAAAGGTGGATTACGCGATTACGCGACGAAGCGCGTCGAAGTAGTGCGTAGGGTGCGACTTTCAAAGGTTTCCCATAGGAGAGACTTCCTCTTCTAACAGCATAACGTCACGTATCGTCGACGTAACCGTGAAAAAAAATATTGGATAATCTGAGGAGGCGGTTACAGTCGTTACAGACGAGGCACATCTTTTTTTTTTTGCTCTCTTCCCTCCGAGATGATATTATCGTCGCCCGTTATCGAGAGAGCGTGAAGGTCCTTCGTACCTTCACGCGCCACGCAATTTAATCGAATCCTAATCGCGCGGTGAACCGTACTTCCAAGGTGCCTCGCTTGATAATGGCCTTTACAAAGGTTTAGTGCGCGGTGACATTTGCATCTCAGTAAGCCGCGTAATTAATAGTCGAATTCGGTAGGCGTAGAATGCATTTTCGCGCGCTCTGACGATCAAACGGATGTCCGCGGTCACTATTCAGAGATAATCCTTCGTCGGATAAAAATCGCATCCGTGGAAAGCACGTCGGGCGTTGGCGAAAAAAAAGCGATGATATCGCGCTACTATGATGCGAAACGAAGCGTTGACTGATACGAAAGATAAGAAAGATAAAAAAAGATAAGAGAGTCGAGATAAAAGATTGTGACGTGTCTTGATTTATAAATCGGTTGATTAGATTAAGAATTGAGAATATGAACTCTCTTCTCAACGGTATGTTTTTTTCTAGCAATCGCAATATCGATCACCGAACAATTGTACTAGATTCAAAGGCTGATGGCAGAAGATAAGACATAATTATCATAGTGGGCGTAAGTTAAGGCAAAGAAATACGTATACATAAATCGTGAAAGTCTATTGTATGGATGCGTTTTTCTCTATCTTACCTTACATCCGTGCGACAGTTAGCTCTCATTCTCAGCTTAATGTGCGTGTCTATCAATGATACGTATAGTTTAACTTTAATCTCGGCTCAACTAATTCTCTATTTTTTTTTCTAGTTTTAAGAATTAAAACAAGATGAAATGTAAATTGAATCGAATTAAATTCAATCTTCCGATGTCTATCTCTACCAATATAAATTAATCTCAGTTCAATTTACTCTTTTTCTGTAATTTGTAATATTGGAAAAAGATGAAAGGTTAAACCGAGATTAAAATTAAACTATATTGATATACTCGTAAATGGGTATAAGAGAGGTGCCGATTACGATCACAGTTAGATGTTGGAATAATATATCTGTATATATTATAAATTTTATCTCAAAAATATGATAAAAACATAAATTTTAGAAATATAAATCTACATGGATGGAAACGGGCATAAGAGTAATTTACAATTCAATCTTGTGTGCAAAATTATTTTAAATCAGATGTTAATTAATTTCGAGATTACATCCAGGTAATGAAACAAACATAACATCTTAAGGTATTTAAAACGATTTTAATATGACTGTTCTGATGATTATAGTGATCGCTGTTATCAAAATATTTTAAAACTTATAAAAAAATAAACGTTTTCTAATATAAAATTTAGAACAACATAAATAACAAACGTAAAATGAAAAAATGTACTCAACACATTCATGATCGCACACACACACACACCCACACACACACACACACACACACGCGCGCGCGCGCGTATATATGTATGTACACTATATATATGTGTATGTATGTATATATGTTTATATTCTTAATCGCATTTTGCTTTGATCATATTATACGATATTTTATCATGATATACACATGATAATAAAAATTCTATTTATGATGCATTTACAGTTAAACATCGATCTCTTATCTCAAAGATGACACACAACTTTAAAAGTGTCAATTAAGAGAAATAATTTTATTTTTAGAAAGCTGATCTTAGTGCTTTAATATTTCAATGTGAATTTATGTACGTATCCAATTCTGCAAACATGTATCGAAATCTTTTTCAGTCTTGAAATGCAATTATGAACCGAGTTAGAATAATATCACCTATTAAATTGACAAGCACTTTAATAATATTAATGTTGATAAGCATTATAGAAAGATATTAATATGTAATTACTACTTTAATTCTGTTAAAGTACTATGATCGACTTTGATTGAAAATAGAATTATTTCTCTTAATTGATTTATTTTCGTCGGTTTAATTTCAAATTATAACTGTTTAAAAAACGTGATTTAATCGTGATTAAATTATTATGAATGAATTAAGTCTAAACATTATTTTATTAATAATTGAAAGTGAACTAATTTAACGTCATAAAAAAATCATCAAAATGTTACAACTCAAAAAGTTAAACAAAATTATTGACTCAAAAAGAATGAGTCTTTAGAGGTTGTGAAACAGAAATTACATTTAATCGTACATTTTCTTTTTGCCAATATTATTGGATTAGTCAATAATTTTTGTTTTGTTTTTTTTTTTTTCAAATTGAAAAATATTTCTTCTTTTCCGGGAAATTTAATTTTTTCGAGCTGTGTCACATTTGAAATAAGACAGAGCGATATATAAAATTCACTGGGCAGAAAACGTGTGTTAAAAATAAAAGCTCAAACTACGAATAGCACGCTTAGACCTCCGGTCTCTGCGGACAATTCTGCAATTAATGTTCGCGTTAATCAACAATTACGCACGGAAATTTCACGCAGTTTCACCCAAGCTGTGGATAACCCGAGGCGACGAGATATTCCGACGGTCGGCCGGAAGCCGCGTGGATGAGAGGCACTGGTGGGCAATACGTCACCGCGTATACACGGTTGCTGCACCTCCGCTGCCGGTGGTAATGATAGAGAGAGAGAGAGGGCGGGAGGGAGGGGGGGGAGAGGGAGAGGAAAAAAAGAAAGAAATTCTCGCGTAAGGGATGTCGGTGGTGAAAAGAAGGGGTCGCGTGTGGGGTGAGAGAGCGAATGACGGCGCGGTGCGGCGCATGCGTTCCCGCGGCGCTCCGGATAACCGTCGGACGCCGACGACGCCGACGGTCAGTAATCGTCGTGATCCCCTTGCGGCCACCACGTCGCATTCGAACACGGACGACCCGATTCTTCTCCCCTCCTGCCGTCTGTTACCTCCCCCGTTCGTTCGATCGCGTCCTTGTTCGCGTGCGAGGCCAGCCAGTGCTTTTATCTACGGATAAAGACGTCGCTCCGTTCACCTCGGTGACGGCAACGACAAGGACAACTAGGACGACGCTCCTTGAGCCCGCTGCCCGCTGCTGTCAGCAGTGCGGTTCTTCCGCACCGCGCCGGTGTTACACTAATCTCGCTACTATCGATTAAACCCGACCGAGTGCCGGCAGTGATTTTAACTAACTGGAGCCTCTTTCGCCCAGAAGATATCGACATTCGACAAACACTCGACAGTCGAACGGCAACGAAGACGGATTGTCGATCACGACCCCGTTGGGCCTGATACGGGCGGTTGATATGCCCGCGATTTTGCCCGCGACTCCAGTCGCGTCATCCGGTGGCGGCTGTCTCCGCTACTCCTCACGGTAAATTTCGACTGTCAGCCGAGATCGATCGACCGACCGTCTGTCCGACTGACGGGCGACAGCCAATTTGTATCCGCGACTCTTGGCGCAATTTGATGAAACGACGACGCGGATATGGCAACGCCAGGGAGCGCGGGCGGAATAATAAGCGCGCGGACTCCGCGGCTAATTCGAGACGCCCGCTCGAATGTGTCCCGCGCGCTCACCTCGCGCTCACCTCGCACTCACCTCGCTCCTAAAATTGTAACGCCAAGCCTCGCGGAACTGACGCCGATTTCTTCCCGGAACACGGAATCGCGTCAGTGCGCTCCGTCCTCGTTACACGCTTCCTACCTCGATGACGTTTGTTGTATACGTAGCGGCTGTTACGTGCCACCGACGACGATGGTGGTTTCGTGGTAGTGGTGGTAGTGCTGCTGCTGACGTCGTTGGCGTTACGTTACTTCCGCCCTCCGGTCCGTACCCCGAGGGTTAAGTTATTCGGCTTCCTGCATTTTATACGCGTTACGAAATACCTAGGAAACTCGCTCGCCTCGGTAATTCGTTGATTAAACGCGAAAAAATCACGGCCGGAAAGATGTTATATTTTTCCTTTTCTTTTTTTTCTTCAGTCAGGTACTTCCCGATTCTCCGATAATCTGATTAAAGAGTCGCGTTTCTTTCGCACGTAAATCATTTCGCGTCGCGTACGTGTTCTATAGCTGGCAACTGATTCGCCAATGTGCAATATATGACCTGTTCTATTATTGCAATGTCTTTGAAAGGTCGTAGCGAAACCGTGCTTTTAGAGATTATTCACGCGGAATCGCGAATTCGTGCGCGATACTATTTGCCAGTATTTTTGCTGTTATTAAAAATTTGGAAAGTATTCTAATAAATAAAGGTTTCGTATCGAAATTCAGTTATGACAAATTTATGAATTAATTGAATCAATAATTAAATTGAAAATTATTTAATGTTTAATTAATAGTAATAATTTTAAGCATTCCTTTAAGATATAGATTATAAAGCAACAATTATGACGATTATAATAAAATAATGTCTACTTATATAAATATTATAATATAATAATTATTTATTATAATAGAAATGATAAAATGAAAATTATAGAACGAAATTTCTTATAATTAAATAATGTATTATTATATAATATATTATTATGTAGTATTAACTTTAATTTTTAAATCTACTATGACTGGAATAGGATATTAATGAAATCTTTATGGGAATATATTTTTCTAATTTATAATAATGAAAGACATAATAAGTCATGTTTTGTTTATACATCAATTTTTCAGGGTGGCTATCCGGCAAAATTAAAAAAAGTCTTGATAGTGACGGCGCCGTTGTGGTTCAAAGCGCCCTTCAAGATCCTTCGATTATTTGTTCGTGAAAAACTGAGGGACCGAGTATTCACAGTATCCATCCCTCAGCTGACGTTGCATATCCCACGAGAATCATTACCACATCGTTTAGGCGGCACGTTGGAGGTACAGCATGAAGCATGGCTACTACATTGTCTTAAATCCATGACGAACCGAAGCGGGGGTGAACTGTGTGAGGTCAGTATCTAATTGGCAATTTTAAATTTTGCCATACATATATTTTTTGTCTTATAACTCGCGTTCAAGATGTAAAAAATGAAGATTCTAAAACTTTTTAATTATTGTATTTAGACTTACTGTCGTAGAAGTAAAATATTTTATTTGGATTACAAAATTATTAGAAAGATAAAATTTTATTATTAGTAGAGTATTCGAATCATTTTATCGATAATTTTAGCAATTTTAATCTATGTGTATAATGATTTTAGGTCACCCCAAGAGTAGGTACACCTGTGTCGCCCACGGCGAACGATAATACAGTTCATCAAAATCCTAATGGAACTACAACGCACAGTAATTCGACTAGTCCTATAATTGATAAGAACAAACAGAAAAATGGTGTGTCGAATATCAGCGATATCGAGATCACTACCGCAAATGCTGATGCTTGGATGGGAACCGATGAGGCACCTTCCCCAGTTCAGCCTCCGTCCTCAGCTAGTTCTGGTTTTAGTGACGACGACAGTCTTCATGGAGATCCTGGACTTCAGGCTGTTACCATGGAGCAATTTATAGCGGATATTCATTCGCGAGGACGCGCTGGTCTCGTAGCGGAATACGCGGAAATTAGACAGAGACCGCCTGATGGTTCATTTAATAATGCAAAGTGCGTAATAGCAATGTTTTGCGTTTGTAAAATACCCATTAATCTCATTCAAGTTAATTAATATATGTTGTGTCATTCCAGGTTAAGGTCTAATCAATCAAAGAATCGCTACACCGATGTGCTTTGTTATGACCACAGCAGAGTCTGCCTTTCGCAAATAGACGGAGATGCGACGTCTGATTACATAAATGCGAATTTTGTTGATGGTTATAAACAGAAGAACGCGTTTATCAGTACTCAGGGTCCTCTTCCGAAAACTTGCGGTGATTTCTGGAGGATGGTTTGGGAACAGCAGACGTTAGTCGTCGTCATGACTACAAGGTAAATTGCTTTACTTGTACGCTTTTGGTAAACTTTACTATATCTTGCATAATACATGATTTGAAGTTTCGAACAATTTTACCAATATCATATTTCATGTTAGAAACTTTATACGTAGCTTTATTGTCTCACGTAAATGTATCGTTCTTGTTTCAGAGTAGTGGAAAGAGGGCGTACAAAGTGTGCACAGTATTGGGGTCCGGAACCAGGTGATGAAGTACAAGCGGGTGGTTTCACCGTAACCACCCTTGAGGTCGATACAAATCCAGATTACACAATATCCATGCTTCTTCTTACAAACAATAAGGTATTTTGATATTTGTTTTCTCTCGGTTATCACAAATGTCTATCACTATTTCTTCATGTTA